GTCAAGTCACATCTGATTTATGGCAACCCCTGGTGGGATTTTCAAGGCAAGAGACATTCAGAGGCGGTCTGCCTCTGCCTGCCTCCGACCCTAGTATTCCTTGGTGGTCTCCCATTCAAATACTAGCCAAGGTTGGCCCTGCTTAGCTCACGAGATCTGACGAGAGCGGGTTAGCCTGGGCTACCCAGGTCAGGGCATATAAATACGTGCCCCATTGTGCCCCACTCCCGCTCCAAGGAGAGCCGAGTGCAGTCCAGGTAATTTACAAGGCCAGATATGCTTGCTTTGATCCACAGACTAGCATCATAGGCTTGCAGATCATTCTCTGGAGTCTCCAGGGACTGTGCCTGCTCAGCTCCCACAGATCTTGAATGATCTTGAGGAAAGTGACTTCATCTCTTATCCGGAGCTTGCTTTAGGATGCCTGGTGAAGGCAGCTCCGGTGCTGTTTCAGCAGTATCCGGGCAGTAGTAGAAGAAAGCACATCCTATGAATTATGAGAGCAATGCGCTCTTTTCAAGGCTGTCGCCCAGGAGAAATGTCACATTCATTTGGTAGATCAACTGGCCTTGGACGCCATTGTTCTCACATTTGTAAAGATAGAATTATAGCTCTTCTCTGCTTCGCTAGAATGTCACAAGGACAGATCCATTAACAGTTTATGAGTGTTCAGATGTCTCAATAAAAGGAGGCTGGATCACGTAATGGTTTGTGATGGATACCTCGAGGGCACAGAAGTGTTTCTGCGATGATATGCCCATGGCCTTTGTTAAGGAAGGTTTGGTCCTTCCATGTGCTTTATCCTTTATATCTCCATTCAAGCTCTTGATATCTGAACGGTGTATTTCTTAACAGAAAGTATTCTAGGGGTCGGTTTTGATTAACAACAAGCAACATTGACTTGCTGCAAAGAGGCAGAATTGCGCCCGGTTTGGGGTGGGGAGGAGGAAAGGCAAATGCAACGTAGCCTTCGGTGTAGCACAGCTTGAAACACAAATCACTGTAAATGTCAGATAACCCTGCGAAGGAAGAGAGCCAAGCTGAGGCCGAGTTCAGCTTTAATTAAGGTTGAAATATTGAAGCTGACTGTTGAGTCTTAGGCAAATTGGCTCAGCCTGTTATCATGAAGCATGAAAATTAACTACTCTAGAACTTGGTAAAAATAAACACATTTCTGTCATTGGAATGTTCCAGTGGAAGGTGGTGAATCTCACGCTTGTTTATAGCAGGGCAGAGGTCAACGATGTGGAGTTTTGCGCAATCACATGCTGGGGAGGTTGGGCCTTCCACGTTGTTTCTTGGAAAGCCCGGAGGAAATTGATATAGTCAGGTGTGGTTTGTAGTTAGCATTAGAAAATAAGAGATGGGAAAACAATGGGTGATTGGGCCTGTTTTTAAAAATATGTGTATTGTTTTCTGTAACAGCACCTGTTCGTTAAAAAATGTAATTGGCAAAAACAGTTGCCATGTCAGTCTCAAGGAAATCATCATTCACAGCAACATGCTCAAGCCCCTCACAGGGTAGGGTAGGGTGTCTGTTGTGAGGAGAGGAAGAGAAAGGAGATTGTAAGCTGCTCTGAGACTCCCGAGTGAAGGGTGAGGTATAAATCCAATCTCTTCTTCTTCTTTTCTTCTTCTTCTTCCAATCAAGACACAAGCAGACCCTGGTTCGAATCCCCCACTCTGCCATGGAAGATTGCTGGGTGATGTAGTCTAATTTTACCCATAGGGTGATAGAGAGGACAAAATGGAGGAGGGAAGAATGATGTAAAATGGATCTTACCCATAGGGTGATAGAGAGGACAAAAGGGAGGAGGGAAGAATGATGTAAAATGGGCCCCTATTTGGGGAGAAAGGTGGGATATAAGTTACGTGGACAAATAACAGTAATAAATCTTCCCGAAGGAGGCCTACTTCACACACTGAGACTCACTGCTCTAGAGAAATAGGGATACTCCCCTAGTAATTCCAGCAGGCACCCAAGAGTAAACGTTCCAATGTGGAGGCATCTTGAATTTAAGTAACTTTGAGACTTTTTAAAAGAGAAGAATCAAACCCTTTTGAATGCATGACCTCTCAACACCTTAGCAGTATCTCTGTGGCGGACCTCAAATACACATTCTCAAGGAATGTGTATTTGAGGTTTTAGAAGCCATTTTGCTTGCTACCTTTAAAAAAAGACCAGCATGGTCTCATGATTACTAGCCGCCTCCCTCTCCCAGAAGGGAACTGCCGAAGGATAGCAGCAGAGGCAGATGGCCTAGAATGCTGTGGGGTGAACCGGGCCCTGTGACAGCCTTTTGCCTTGAGGCTGCTCCCAGCAACATGCAATGCCTGGAGGCAACGGAATCGATAACAACGTAGAAGTCTGGTGAGGTGTTGATAGCATGCGTGGGTTCCATTTCTTTTGGATAGGTCACGGATTCGTTTTAATCGCCTTCCTTGATGTAAGTGATGCTGGGAGTCTGAAAGATGTATGTGTGCAATTCATCCGCTTTGCATCTCTGCTGCACTGTACGAACTTTCGCAATGGGTATATTTACGTCGCTTTTGGTGGCTTTTGCCATACACAGAGGCCTTTTCAGAATACTCATGGAACATTCTGCATTCAGTCGAAGGAAACCCTTATCGTGGATGTAGCTGTGTTATTAACAAATAATCTTCAACACAGAGTTGTGGGGCTATGAGGTTCCCCGGCCCCCAAAATAGGCTCTTGGCCTTCCCCTGTCCTGCCACCAAAGAGAGTATCTGGCCCACCAGCCTCAGAATTGGGAAGGAGAGGGGGTTCCGGCACCCAGGTCCTCTCCCTTCCCCAAAATCCAACTTCCCGTCATCTGACCTCAGTCTGTTGTTTCCTCCCTGGCTAGGTGTGGTACCTCCCTTTTATGGGATTCCCTGGCCCCACCCCCACCTGGCCTGTATCCAGTCCCCCTTTACCTGCTCTGTCTGGGAGACCGTAAAAAGAAAGGGAAACTGTTTCCTGCTTTTCCCCCTGCTCTGCACTCCCCCTTTACCTGCTCTGTCTGGGAGACAGTAAAAAGAAAGGGAAACGTTTCCTGCTTTCCCAGCTGCCTCCCTGCTCTGCTCCTTCCCTTTGCTGCTCAGGGTTGCCTCTTAGCCTCTCCTCCCCTCTCCTGGCCTTCCCCAAGTCTGGGCTAGGCCTTGCCTTCTGACCACTCCCATTGGGCCCCTGGCCATCCACAGCTCGGGTAGCAAGGACAGGGTAGAGTCAGGGAAGGGCATCAACTCCTGACAAGGGCCTTGGCTGTCATTATAAAGGCACCACTGAGTAGTTGCACAGCCGGAAGAACCACATTCAGTACCCCACACAGAAGCAGCATATGTATTTATTACATTTTATGTCTGTCATGGAACTCAAGGTGGTATACGTAGCAGGTTTCCCATCCAGGTGCTGTTCGGACCCAGACCTGCTTAGCGTCAGCCAAGTTATTATTACATGGTGTGCCTTTGGACTATAGTCAGGGCTCCCGATTGCAAAGAAAGAATTTATAATATGGCCCTGGGGGGGAGCTGCTCTGAACTCTGATCCCTGCGAATGCCAGATGTAGCCTTGCACCTTTAGGAAAATATAGGGGGAAATTAAAGATAGAATGGGCTATCACAGCACTTTCCAAGAGACACTGTTATTGGTGTTTTCAGGGAAGCAGTTATTACAGCTGCCACCATGTTCCTGAGGTTTCCGAAGCATTAGCAGTTATTAAGGCTCCATTGCTGTTCTCATGCTACGGGACTACAAGTCCTTGGCGGCAGCATCCTAAGGCAACCCAAACATGCACCAGTGAGTTTGTAATGAATAATTTCTAGAGCACTCAACAGATGTAGAGTTCACCTACCTCTTTTTCTTATTTGTCCTCAGAAATAACAGGTGGGTCGTTTCAGTTCTCAGTTTACAGATGGGGGCCCATTGGGTCTGAGGGAGTTGAAGGCCCCAAGAAAGTTCTGGGATGAGCTGGAGGTAACAGGGAATAATCTTGGACTCAGGGAATCAAGAAGTCCTTGGGTGAGGCAGGAGTCAAATTGAGGTCCAGTGTTCCATTCACAAAACCATTCTGGCTCATTTTATCCTTCACTTAATTTTGCCAGGATGCTTTTTTGCTGAAAGAATGTATTTATGCACCAGCTAGTTGTTTGGTTATCATGCTGTGGCGGTGTCGATAGATGAATCGATTCTTTTTAAAAAGAAAACAGTTGAAGGACCAGCAAGCATCCCTAATGTCATTCATAGTTTTAATAAAATTAATTTTATCTGTTGATGTAGAACTGCAGGGTAAATGCAAACAATATGAAAACTAACTCACTGTGTAACATTGGGTGCCTTAAAGGGTAAGAGACATTGTAGATAGCAAAGAGAAGCATACCTTTTGGGAAGAATGTATATCTTATGAGCACTTATAAGTCACCCACTTTCAATGGATCTTGTCTAGTATTGTCTTCCTGTTTGTGGGCTTCCTGTAATTGATTGGCCACTGTGTTAGTAGAATACTGGACTAAATGAGCCTTTGGTCTGACCCAGTATGGCTCTTCTAATTGTCTGTGAATTCTTCAGTTGGCATTTGTTGGCAGATCCAGGGAGGTACCTCCAGGTGGAATCTGCAGCAGAATTTCAATTTAAGTGATTAAAAAAAATCAAACATCATGGCAGGGAAATGTGCAGTCCTGAACATAACCCCAAGGTCTGTAACTTGGAGAAGGCCTGTCAACGAAATTGAGAACAATTTGGGCCAGGCTCCTGTTGAATACCTTCACTTAAGAAATGGTGGGGGAGGCTGTGATGGGCAGGGAAATTGCTGAATTATAGAGAAGAAGAAACAGCCACGGCAAAAGCAATATCATCTTAATACCTTTGATGTGGGGAGAGCTATCAATAAACAAATAGATGCGTCCTGGTCAATAACCTTGAATCTCTTCCACCTGCTTGCTTGCAAAGCAAATTGGGATGTTTTGCTACATCAACGTGTCTTTATTTCTTGTTCTTGAAGGTCCAGCCTCGAATGACAAGGCCGAAGTGAAAGCAGCAAGCGTCCCAAAGGTTTCCGGGCTGGAGCGCAGCCAGGAACTGAGCACTGACGTGCCCTTTGTACTACCGATCCACAGCCCCCAGCCACCCGCTGCTGTAGTGACTTCAACGTCCTCCGCGCCCACATCGAGTGCCCGAGCGAGCCCGCTGTTGAAGAAAGAGCCATTGATCACACCACCAGCACCCCCGAGGCTCACCCCTCAGCCCCAGCCTCGGCCTCAGTCGCAACCTCAGCCTCGGCCTCAGTCTCACCCACAGCTGCTGCCTGAGCTTCGAACACAACCTCAGAGCCACATCCCCCCTCCCCTCAATTACCAAGTGCATCACCAGGTGGCCCACAACGGACTCAATAACATCAGGTATGTTTATTCATTGCCCCCGTAATCCCATAGTTCAGGGGTCCCCAACATATGGTCCCCAGGCGTGCCATGGCACCTACTTATACCATTCCTGGTGCCCACCAAGTGTTTTTGAAAAGTAGGTGGGCCCAGCTGGGGCTTTTGCCCAGCAGGGCTCTTGATTGGCCACTGGAGATTTCATTGGCTGTGTACAATGTTGCTTTGGCAGCAGCTGCCACCACAGCACAAGGGTCTTCACTGTGAGACGGAGAGTAAACTGTGACAGCCATTGTATGGCTGGCTCTACCTTCTGTAGGAACCATTTTGTGGCAGCCATTTTATGGCCGTGCCCACCACACAGTGTCAGAATTCCAAAGGTCCCAGCACACTCAAAAAGGTTGGGTATCCCTGCCATAGTGGATCTTGTGGATTGAATCTGTTGTGGCTTTTCAACCAACAAAACTGAGACTTCAGCCTAAGACATTAGAGAAACAAGCTGTGCACATAGGGTTGCCAGGTCCATCTTCGTCCCCAGCAGGGGACTTTGGGGGGGGCGTCCCCAACGTGATGATGTCACGTTGGGGACATCCCGGTTCCAAGTCACGCCCCCGTGGGGCCCTTTCCCGCCAGCTGCCTGCACTTAAAGGGTTCCCTTTAAGTGCACACAGCCGGAGGGCCCCGCACACCCGATCTCCGAGTGGCATTGCTGCTCGGAGATCGGGTGCACGGGGCCTGCAGCCGCCCCTCTTCCTCCTCTCTCTCAAGAGAGAAGGGAGAGGGGTGGTTACGGGGCTTGGGGGGCGGGGCTTCCCCAGAAAGCAGGTAACCCCTGCCAAATTGGGGGGTCTGGCAACCCTATGTGCATAGTTTGGGGGTTGCTTCAGTCCTATATAATTCTGTCCTTCTCAATGAACGCAGTGTGGGTAGCAAGTCCCACCTTCATCACATGTTCCATGGTGAGTGTGCATTCACGTTTTTGTGCAAATGTGAGATTATAGGGAAAACACTGGCAGTAGTTTTAGAAGACAGATGACCAGAGTTTCAGAAGACAGATGACCAGAGAGTCATGAGTCCAGGCCGTAATGGAAAATGCTGAGAGGACAGGGGGGATCTCAAGATTCCTTGAAGAAGTATCTGTTACGTTGAAGGAGCACTTGTTAATTAACAAATTAATTGTTGTCCAGGAAACAGTGTCTTAGTCTAGAATGGCCTAAGGGACCTGCAGTGGACGACTGCTTGAGCAGATGAGCTGAAGGAGCTTGGAGAGCCAGTATGGTGCAGTGGTTAGTCCAGGATCTGGAAGAGCCAGTTTCAGCTATGTGCCCTAGAGAGCACTGAGGTCAGGGACACAGAATCACCTGACTCTCCCTGGCCCGAGAGACGCCATGTTGGCCATTACTAGAGCCAGGGCCTTTTACAGTTTCACAGGGCCCGTAAAACGGAGCTCTTCCACCAGGCCTTCGATTAGGAGCCACCACTGACGAACGAGCCACTGGTACATACTACAGCTCGTATGATACACTGCTGGATATTGCCTTCCATTATGGGATTGTATACCAAATGCCGCCATCATTTGCACAACTCTTATTAGCACTTTATGATGTTTTATTTATGTGTAATTTATTGTATTTTATTGTGTTTACTGTTTTATTGTATTTTAATGCTTGTACACCACCTTGAGCCAGTTCCCCAGCAAGGCGGGATATAAATTGAAAATAATAAATAAATAAATACATTCAGATCCCCACTCTGTCATGGAAACTTTCTGGGTGATCTTGGGCTAATCCCTCACTCTCGTCCCAACTAACTTCACGGGGTGGGGGTTGTGAGGACAAAATGGAGAAGGGGAGAGCAGTGTTGTAAGCGGCTTTGGGTCCCAATTGGGGAGGCCAGTGGAGTCTAAATATCTAAATAAATGATGTTTGCTGGGATGCATTTGCAAACGATATGGTCTTTGCCGGAATGCTACTGCAGATTTGTCTGTTTTCTAATGACACTTTCCCCCCCTCTTTCCCCTCCCGTCTTTTTTTCTTTTATTTCCACAGCAGAAGCAGCAGTGCCAGCAGTGCCACGAGCATCAGCCTCCCCAAACATCTCCCCCTCTCCCCGCAGATCCCTCCCCACCACTCCTCCGGTCCAGCTCTGCCCCTCTCTATCTCTAACCTTGCTGCCTCGCATTTCCCTCTCAGATCGCAGTCCCAACACCAGCACCATCCGGCCATGTTTGCCACCCCTCCCACGCTGCCACCTCCTCCAGCGTTACCTACCAACAGCCTTGTGATCCCAGGTCACCCTGCAGGTAGGTCCCATCACCTCTCTCTGGCTCTTTCTTCTTGAGAACTGTCAAAATACGTACACGGGAAGAGGCAAAGCCAAATGCAGACTACCTGCCCTGGTGGTCTGTCGAAGGCATCGAGAGTATAATTTCAGAGGGTAGCCAGGTTGGCCTGCAGAATTAAGAGCAAGATTTGAGTCTAGGAGTATCTTAGGAACCCAACAGGTTTTGAGAGTCAAAACTCCCTTCATCAGGTACGAGTCAGCATGGAGATCTCAGTCTCTATATCCCTTTGCATCCTTTACAAGCATTCTTCACAGCACCTCTCCTACCTCCTGTCCAATGCTCCCTCTAAGCTGTGAAGTCTTGTGAGCAAAAATTCTACTTTGTGAGTTACTGGCATTAAAGTTGTGAGTGAACAATTTGGCTCCGGAGCCATCCTCCCTGAGCTAAGACAGAAATGTGTGAGCTGGAGGCTAAAAAACTGTGAGCTAGCTCACACTAACTCACACTAACTCAGCAACTGCTCCTGACTGGGATATATAGACTCTGCTTCCCATTTCTACTTGTATCTGACAGAGGGAGCTTTGACTCCGGAAAGCTTATGCCCCTCAAATCTTGCTGGTCTCTAAGTTGCCCCTGGACAAGAATGTAATTGTGAGACATGCTGAACCAGACCTGCAATGCAAGCAGTACAGTGTTCTACTCTTTGTGTGTGTCTGTCCACTGCCCCCCTCTTGCTAACTGGAAAAGGTTGTGAATCTGAACTGAAGTGACAGAGTTCTTAATCCTCCAGAAATCAGAAATCGCCAAGAGGGAATTGCTGAAATGAAGAACTTCCAAGTTCCAGTTCTATTCCTGTTCTAAAGAATGTGGCACATAACAATAGTTATATGAGAAATGGCTCAGGTTATATGGGACAGAAAATGGAATAAGATGAGAAGTGGGGGGGGGGACCCAAGAGGCTGGAAGTGGGGAAAGTCTGAGAGGCAAAGTCAGTACAACAAATGGAAATTCTTTGTCTTTTCAGTCTTGATTTCCTTTGGGCAGAACTAACTATTCTACAGGATGCAGGACTGTCACTGAAAATGTGTTGAACTTTTGCTCATAGCATCACTGATCCCATATCACTTGTCCTGTAACATCATGTGATCATGTTGAGCATTTCCCTACCCTTGCTACATATAGTTGGCTCCCATTGCTGGCATGGTTAGAGAAATATACTGCATGACTGCATCATGGCACTGGAGACGGATCAAGATGAGTAGCCGTGTTAGTCTCTCTGTAGCAATAGAAAAGAGCAGGAGTCCAGTAGTACCTTTAACACCTGTCAAAATTCATGGCAGGGTATACCCTGCCACATATTTTGTTCGTCTTTAAGATGCTACTGGACTCTTGTTCATGGCATTGGGTAAGTGATGCTGCTTGGTACAGGCGAGCAAGGAAAAATATGTCAGAAGAGAGCCATTTTCAACAGCATCCTTGCGTTCTCTGTACAGCATAGTTTTGCCCTTCCGATTGGGCGCATGGCTTTCATACCCCGAAAACCTTGTTGGACTCTAAGAGGCTACTGGACTCAGATAGAGCTTTCTTAAGAGACTTCTCTCCCCCTCCAGCTTTACCAAACACTCTCAACTTAAATCCTTCATTTCCCACAAATCTTGGCTTGCATTGGTTTGCGGCTTCATCGTCATCACGAGAGAACTGCATTGCTCTTTGCAGTAAGATTTAAGATGCAGAACAATCCCTGAAAAACCTCCAGCAGGGAAAGGAGCAAAGTATATAAATTATTCCATGAGGCAGTTTTCCTCCTCAGTAACCAAGAAGGGAAGTTGTCGTCTGGGTGCGGCCTAAAGATGAAGCCCCGTTGGGTGAGCTAAAGCCGGCGGCTAGCAACAGTCTGTCCTGCCAGTGACAGACAATTAGGTCCGTATGTATGCACAGTAATGTCAGGTGCTCTCTCTTCAGGTCGCCAAAAAGTGGGTTCTAGATCACATCAAGCCTGAACTCTCCCTAGGAGCTAAAATGAGCTAACTGAGGTTATTGTTCTATGGTCACATTATGAGGAGACAAGAGCCACTGGAAAAGACAATAAAGGCTAGGAAAAGTTGAAGGCAGCAAGAGAAAAGGAGGAGCCAACATGAGGTGGATTGACTTCATCAAGGAAGCCACAGGGGCCCTCAGGCTGCAAGACCTGAGTGAGGCTGTTAACGATAAGACATTTTGGAGGTCATTCATTCATAGGGTCGCCATAAATCGGAAGTGACTTGATGGCACAGTTTGGTGTAGTGGTTAGGAGCACGGATTCTCATCTGGGAGAACCGGGTTTGATTCCCCACTCCTCCACATGCAGCTGCTGGCGTGACCTTGGGTCAGTCACAGGTTCTTTCAGAGCTGTTCTCTCAGGGCAGTTCTCAAAAGAGCTCTCCCAGCCCCACCTACCTCACAGGGTGTCTGTGGTGGGGAGGGGAAGGGAAAGGAGATTGTTAGCCGCTCTGAGACTCCTTGGGGTAGTGAAGGACAGGGTATAAATCCAGGCTCCTCTCTTCATCTCATTGGCTCATTGAAATATCATCATCATCATCATCATCATCATCATCATTATTATTATTATTATTATTATTATACGCATCAGGACCCTTTGACTTTATAGAGGAGGTTGAGGGAAAAGCCTACCGATCATGCTTAGCTTTTATGAACTTTTCAGAGTTTGGGTTTTTTTTTAAATTACAGGACACCTTTCTGCCCCAAGGCTCAATTCAACGTATTTTACAACAAACAATTGAGTTTTCTGTAGTCCTTACAACAAACCCCTGCCTCTAACAGTGCAGTCCTAAGCAGAGTTACGCCCATCTAAATCCATCAGAGGTCAATGGGCTTGAAAGGGCGTTAACTCGTTTAGGACTGCACTGTCCCGCACCCGTTTATGGCTTTCCCATTAGCCTACAGCTGTTCCTGCAGCAGCTGGGACCTTCTGTGCCTTTGCCCACTGGGCCCCCTTTTGATCTGGCATTTGACTCTGTAACTAACCCGGCAGGGATTAAAGGGAACATACATTTACACCAACCGTTCCCCCCTTCTGTTTCCTACCAAAGCCTCCCTAACAAGTGGGAAAGGAAAAGATTTCAAGCTGTTGAAAGCAGCAGTTGATTTCCATTTTGGTGTTTTCATTCCCCGTCCCCCTTTTTTTAAAAAAGATCCTTGCCTAAAGAAGAGTGTAGAAAGGAGAAAGATGGTGGCCAAAAAAGGCCTTAAAAATTGTATTAGGCTGAATTTCTGTAGCTCCCAGCTAAGGTAAAGGGCTGCCGTCAAAATATGTCTGGCCTTGAGGAAACATACCATTTAAGTTTCCAGAGACTGGCACTAGAGGGACATCAGTCTGCGTCCTGGGCGACTTGTTCATTCCACAGTTTCTTCCTGTGTGTAAGGCAAGTCCCACAGAGACAAATATATTTGAGGTGGAGCTTTTGTAGAGTAGTTTAGTTAACCTCTGGGCAATAACGGAGGAAACAGCAGCTGTCTAAGCCTGTCTCTCCTGGGACAGAAGTACAAAAATCTTGCTTAGTTACACAGGCGACTTCTGCTGTATACATAATGTCTTCCCAGTGGCCCCATGTTTCAGACGTGTCTCCTTATATTGAACCAGTTATATTGGCACTATGGATTGTCATCTTTGTTTGTTCCTCACAGTGATTGACACCATCACTGTGGTTAGCGACAGGAGTGTCACGTCACTTGTGTGAAGGCCGCTATCCAAAGTTTAACCACATATGTTCCCTCAGCCAGCATTTGTTTGGCCAGCTCTGTCACTGAGGGAATAGTAGCGCAACGTGACTTTGTCCACTCATGACTACTTCCCTTGAGCCTGGCCAACAAACCATCTTATAGACAGGGCAGGAAGAAGGGCACAGTGCAGATCCGGGGTGTATTTGGGTGTGTAGGCCCTGTGGGTTTGGTCTAGGCTTATCAACCTCCAGGTGGTGGTTGGAGATCTCCTGGGATTATCCCTAGGCGAGTCTGTGGCATTAGACCCCACTGAAGTCTCTCCCCTCCCCCTAACCCCACCCTCCTCAGGCTCCACCCCCAAAATCTCCAGGTGTATTTCCCAACCCGGAACTGGCAGCCCTAGTTTGTTCTCATGTGGCTATCACTCAAGTTTTACATTTTAGGCACAAATATGCCTGATCTTCAGCATGCTCCTTTGGAAAACAAATGCCTCCAAGATCAGTAGGACACTGAGAACTTATTCAAACAGATATTCATGTGGGAGATAATATCTCCCTGTTGTGTTGGCTGTGCTCATGCCAAGAAGACGCATTGAAACAGAACCACATTCCAGCATGTGATTTCCCCCTCCTCTCCAGGTGTATACTGGAGATGATAATATCATGTCTCTTGGGCCAGATCTAGAGGTGTGATCTCTGGACCAGAGGCTTGAGACGCAGGCTGCAGAAGTTGATGTGTGTCAACCAGAAGGCACTGCTCTGTTGACATAATGACAAAAAGCCAACCTCCTACTGTTTATACCAGGTTTCATCCTGCTGGCTAAGGGTACACTCCCCTCCCCCAAAACCGAGGTCTCCAGATCCAACCCCAGAATCCCTGCTACCTGTGTAGTCCACAGGGCAGGCCGTGGCTGAGAAGCAGAGCGTCTGCTTTACATATAGAAGATCCCAGGTCCACTCTCTAGCAGGTGATGTGAAAGCTCTCCACCTGATACCCTGGGGGACCCACTGCCAGCCAAAGAAGATAATAAAAACCTTGATGTTCCAATGATATGATTCAGTAATGTGTACAACTGAAGAGAATATTCTGTTCAATCCTTTCCTCTCCAGTGAACTTACATAATACTCTTCTTCATAGTCTTCCCACCCCTCCACCAACGCTATGAAGATAACAAGCGACCTCAAAAGGTTGCATTAAGGATTAAAGCAAGATAATATACATGTGAAACACTTTGAGCTCTTAAAAGAAAAATCAGTGTATATGCAGAGTTACTCCAGTCTAAGCCAGTTGAAACCGATGGCCGTAAACTGGAGTAACTCTGCGTGGGATTGCACTGTAAATGTCCCGTTCCTTCTGTCTGTTCAGCACCTCCCTTCAACACAATGGTCGCATGCCGTAGCTCTGTGAAGGTTTCATGTATAAGCTGCGGCAGCCTTCTTCTGTGAACTGGAGGGTGCTGTTTGCGCATGTGAGGATTGCCACTGAGTGTGTGGGTCACTCCCCTTTGTAGCAGATTCCCCCAGCATCCACTGCCCCCCCCCCCACCGTGCACGCATGTCAGCATCTGCTTGTGTGCCGGAGCTCCTTCCCCCTTGCAGGGCAGCAAACACATGTCAAGTGAGATAAAAGCCATCCCCTCTTGGCTGCCATCCTGCATTCTTGTTAGAATCTCTTTTTAAGTGCTTTGCTACTGCTGCTTTTGTGTGTGGGGGCAGACACTCACCTTTTTGTTCTCTTCCCTCCCCCCTATAAAGATGAAGCCGGGATGTCATAGTGAAGTCTGGAGTCAGCTGCACATCCACCCGGGCTGACTTCAAGTCTTTTAAAGAAACCAGATACTGAATAACTTGCAGCTGCCAAACTCCCTTTTTTTATCCATTACTCCCCCCCCGCCTCCTCCCAAAGGGAAAACACAAAACGGATTATCTCGATACTAACAGCAGTATCCAGTTCCTCAAGTCAGGCCAGAGGTTCCTCCCATTTATTTTGTTCTGTGTTGTTGTTGATTGATAATAATGATGGTGGTGATGGTGATTTGGGACCAAAGTACAAAATGACATCAGCAGACCTGTTTGTTTAAGTCTGTGCCTGCCCCAAAACAAGTATAAAAAATGGAGGGGTGTGTGTTTTAAAATAGGTCTGATTTTTAGAAATGTTTCTGCCTTTAGGGTGGGGTTTGTGTTTTTTTTTTAACTTAAAAGGCAGTATAAAAATATTGTAAATAAATGGAGCAAAAGGGTTGTGTGATTGGAGGTGCTAAACTCTCTCATTGTCCATACCCCTCTCTTCCTCCCCCATTTCTCTGATCAACCCCAATACCAGAGGTTAATGTAGGGGGCAGAGGAAGCTAAGGGAGAAGAAAGCACGGGGTGGGGGGGAGGTTCCAGCTCCCACTAGTCTGCCTGCCTGCCTGGCTGCCTTCTCTCCTCTGCAAATTGGGCCTTCCTCTGCTCTGTATGCAGTTGCAAGCATTACCTGCTTCTAAACAAGTGTATCTGCTGACATCCTATCTAGTTTTCTCTAAAGCTGCCACATCTGAATTATAACTACAAATAAATATCTATTTTACAGCTTGCCCCAAGGAGGGGGGAGGGGGGAAATGCTAGCCAAGAGTCTTCGCACTGAAAAGTCTTTCCCCTCAAAACGCCATCATAACCTACAATTATTTCTGTTTGTTATTAGTGTGCTAAATAATCTTGGAGAGGGCGTTCCTTTTTGGGCAACAGCAGCTGCTTCTGGAAGCTTAAGAAAAAGCTCCCGTGGATTAGATGTTTAATGCAAACCACAAGTGTATTCTAGCTGCCAGATAGACCACATTTCAAATAGTAGCCCTGTTAACCCTCATCCACCCATCCCTTTCCACACAGGAGAGTATTCTACTCCTGTTCTTGCCTCCCCATCCCTATAAATGTAATCCTGCAAACTGTCTTAATTATTTTGGGGAATCAGAAGGACTGTGAGCTCCTTGAACCATGAAGGATTATTTGTTGTGTCAGGTTCTCTTTCCAGGAAAACAAACATACAGGCAAGAAGGATCCATCAATAGCTATTGACCAGAATTAAAGAGCGGGATTGCGCAGTGCTATGCCACGACTACGTTCTCAGGAATAGTGTTGTTTAAAAATAATAGTCCTCTTAGCTTGTTTTAACAGAAAGAGAAATGAAAAGTGAACCAGCAGCAAGAGTTCCTATTAAAGAACAGAGGATCCTCCTCCTCACTTCTAAAAGTGCTCGTGAGAATCATTTCCCAAGTAGAATCTCCACTTTCCAGAGAGACTCCATCCATCTTAAAACAGGACAGATGATCCCGTTCTGGGAAGAAATTGAATCCCATGGGAGTTGTTTCCGTTATATGGGGGGGAAATAGAATGTGAGAGGGTCGGTAGGGAATAAGAAAGAAACCACTGAAAGCCATTTTTGTAAATTATCACGCTAACTCCATTAAATGCAGTTCTAATGGGGAAAAACAGGGTTTGGTTTCCTGTACAAGGAAGCGGGATGTGTGAACAGCACAGAAGTGAAGTTACTTGCCTCTCGGCACTGCCAGGGTTCTGATCTGTGATGCTAGGATAGGGTTGCCATCTCCAGACTGGGAAATCTGGAGATTTGGGGGCGGATCCTGTGGAGGATGGAGTTTTGGGAGGGAAGGGAGGTTAGCAGGAATGTGAAGCCATAGAGTCCACTCCAGGGAAACTGATCTCTGTACCCTGAGTTGTAATTTCAGGAGAACACCAGGCCCGCTAAAGGTTGGCAACTCTAGGAGCTACTTTAAAAGTATAAATACATCTGCCCGTGGGTATTGAGTCCATGCATCTGATGAAGTGAGCATCCCTCTGGAATTATTAGGAATTGATCAGTTGTACTATTCCTTGTACGTTTCCACCAGTTTTTGACTTAATAGCTGATTAATATTAAAGCAAAATTACCAGCAGGCTGGAAGATTGAAGGGTTCATTTTTAAAAGAAGTCATTTTTATATTGATAATGTGTGTTTCCATTTGCTTTTTAAAAACTGGGTGGTTTAGCTGCTTCCCAAATGAGAATGTATTTTCCCCCTTATATGCTAAGTGCAGAAGAAATGCCTCTAAATGTACCTCATACAACGTTGGGTGGGTTGGAAAGAAAGAACAGTGAAAAAGTGGTTGGGTTTTGTTAATCCCAAAGTGTCCTTTTTTTAAAAAAAAGATCCTATCATCACTGTTCTTGGGCTGTGGGAGGAGGGTGCTGGGAGGGGACGTCTTGTTGATAACGCCCCAGTATGTTTTCTGCTGTGATGACTCATGGTGTTCTCTCTTGTCTTTAGATACCAGCCTGTTGATATCATTCAACCAACCAATCATGTATTGCCAGCCTCATTCGGGGATTCTGATTGGTACTTTGTCACAGGCATCTCTCTTACCTCCACCAATGAGTCCTCACGTAGAAAACCACCACAGCATGACCTGCAGAAACAGGGAATGCCAGGTGAATATCTTGACTCTTTTTTTTCTTCTGCGTCTTTGTGAAACTCACAGGCCGCCGTGCCCTCTTGTGTCTTTCCCCCTACCCCTCCCTTTCTCTCTCCCTCTTCTAGATCACGAGCTGCTCAGACAAGAGCTGAACAATCGTTTTTTGGTTCAGAGTTCGGACAGGGCCGGTGCTTCTCTCGGCCCGGTGCCGCTGCTGAGGGCGGAGTTCCACCAGCACCAGCACACCCACCAGCACCAACACACCCACCAGCATACATTCACTCCTTTTCCACCCAGCCTGCCCCAGATGCCGCCCACCGCACCTCCCCTGGTGCGTACCCCCGCCCAAAATGTGAGGATAAGTAGACCACTGGGGGTCGAAAAGCCTGCCAGCTCCAACCCACTTCAAGACGGATGCTCAGAATTGCTCTTCTTCCCCGTGTTAGATAAAGTGTCCCGTTCTAAGAGGACGGTTGTTTAATGTACAAGCAATCCAACAGCACCCTTTTAGAATTAATTTTTTTAAAAATTCAGCATGAGCAGAGTTCCTTCTCCCTGAGCCCCATCTCAAGTGTTAATTCTCTCAAGGTCTGTTTCCAAAAAAAAAGTATCATGTAAATGTAAAATGGTCCTTTGTTTTCTTCCTCTTATGTGCTTTGAACAGCTGACATAGCATGTTTCTGACTAATAATTTTAATAGGGGGAAAAAGTTGATGTTGACTGCTTTCTCACACACAAAATATGGCTGAGGCAATAGAAGTTTCCAGTGCAGAATGTCCATGTTGTTTCTCACTTGCCTCCAATGTTGCCATAATATTTTGCCTGTTCTGCTTTGTTTTAAATATTTCTGGTCCGCTGCCGTTCAGTGCAAGTGCCCCCACCCGGTCATGGTTTTTGTGAATATAAATATTTGACTGGGCAGTCCAAGAACCGATAGATGTTTATCTGTTTTTTTATCACTGACCATGGTCTAAAGTTTAATGTTTGCATACAACACGAGTGAGGGACCTTCGTCAGGCTTGCGGGTAGGTTCACGTTGTTTGTGCATAACCTCCCACTCACCCATGGCAGTAAGCTCCACCCACTCGATTCAAAATGTCATAGCATGTCATTGCTTTAGCCAAAGGGGAGTCATTGGACGGAATATCAAACCCGTAGCATGGGCCACATCTTGCCAAAAAAGCTATACTTTTTTTTTCATGCCTCTTTGTCTTTTCAAGATTTATCATGATAACGTTATATGTGGTTTACCCCTGTTTGCTGCTGTTATAAAGTGCTGAACTCGGAAAATTCTTCAAAGTACCTTTTTTTGTCCTGGCAAGGCAATGTTTATTTTTATTTTATTTTTTTTGTAGACTGCATGAAGCTTTTCCTCCTTTCAGGAAAAAGGGAGGGAAATGCATTATCCTTTTCTCTTGCAGCCAAAGAACCGACATTCCAAAACAGCATTTTGGGGCAAACTCATGGGAAATGACATTTCTTGCTTTTCGTTCCTGCTGCTGATGGCATGACGAAATTGTTCGTTTCTAATCCGCTTAGCTGCAGAACAATGAGAGCAATATCTGCCGCCCCCCATCCCTACCCAGGTGTTTGAGCACAGTGCAAATACTTTCCTTTCATTTCTCCCGCCCCTCTCCCCCCCTTCTGCTGTGTAAAGCAATCTTAGAACTTTTCCTTGAAGACCTGGCGAGCTGTTTAAGAATCTTGATATCTGATCTCGAAAAGCTCTATTCCCGCCCACCCACGCCCTGTTGATGTCAGGCTTAAAAGGTAGAAACAGCTTTGCCCTGCCCTCTTTTGTTGTATTTAAGCTCCCATCTCCTTAGGTTTCTCTAAATAGGCTTGTGTTACAGGTCCAGGCCAAAATCCAAGAACAAAAGCAACAGAATACCTTTTCTTAATACCAACCACAATGACAGAAAACGGTGTGTGAGCTTTCGAGAGCTCTTAACCGGCTGGATTTTTAAAAAGGCGGGGAGAGTGTTTCAGGCCCTGACCCAAAGACCACTTATCTATATCCCGTGTTAGAAGGCCAGGCAGATTTAAATGGATCAAGTGGTGCTGGGTAGAGCTGGGATCAGGTTGCGCCTTTTGGCTTTCTGGAAAGAACCAGTGAGAATGCCGGCCTCTGAATAAAAATATAAAAAGCAGTAGCTGATCAAATGTCTAGCACCAGACAGAACACACGGATCCCTTAAAAAGGCTGGGAGCAGAGGGAAAACGTGGTAGTCGGTGGGCTTATTAATCGGAACGCCAGAGCGGGCGGCGTTGAAACTGCCAGCTGCGTGTGTTTTAGTAATTTATGGTATTTACACTGGAGGGTACATGACTCCAGTAATAACTGTAATTAACACAATTGCAAATCTGCTCTCCTGTATGGAGGAAGAGCATACAACAACAGCTGGCTTGCCAAATGAGTGGCATTTCAAAGGGGTCATTGCTTACCGTCCCCGAACACACCTCCCTATTGCTTAAGGCTGGAATGCATGCATTCTTCAAAGGGCATAGTAAGAATACCAATGGGACCCAGGTCAGACGCATGGTGGGGGGAGTTAAAAGCTACACAGTGCACCAAGATACAATGCAAGGGATGTGAGATACCAGGACAAAACATAATGCAGTTGTGAGGCTTTTATGTGTCTGTATAGCGAGGTTGCCCTGACCTGGATGGTCCAGGCAAGCCCTATATCCTCAGCTCTCAGAAGCTAAGCGGGGTCAGCCCTGCTTAGTATTTGTATGAGAGCACCAAGGAATATCAGGGTCACTATGCAGAGAGAGGCAATAGCCAACCACCTCTGTTTGTCTCTCACCTTGGAAACCCTACAGGGTGGCCGTAAGTGGGTTGCAACTTGATGACACACACTCAAAATAGCAAGGTTGCCCAATTTTTCCTTTTTATGCTTTTTTGAATGCTGAGCTTGGTTGAGATCGAATAGTAAAAATGGGACAGGGAGCAGCAGTCAGAGAAGGACCGATGTAGGATAAAATGCCCTTGAAAACCAGAGCAATTCTGTGGGGAGACGTCTGGGCATGGGCCTAGGCAGAGACCTGTGGATTCAGTGGTGGATTTACCAGACAATTTTGAGCAAGTGGTCTGTTGAAATGGGAATACCACCAACATTCCTTGCAGAATTGTTCTGGACCAAAGTTACCAAGATTGTACAAGAACAAGTGGTAGGCAAAGGCAAAAGAAGAATACCAGTGTCCCCCAGAGGAACAGGATGAAGTTAGCTATTCCAGCTCATAAAGCATGTAGTTCAACATCAGATGTTTGGAATTAATTAGGATTTTAATCAGAGGAAAAACTTTGGTGATGGGGAAATGTTCTGCTAGGTGTCCATCTGCAAATCTGCAGGTTTCAGAAGCCAATGATGTATGGAAAATATGCAGGTGCTCTTCAAACACATACACACCAGCTCTGTGTATCATGTCTGGTGAAAACATGCTTCCATTGTGCTTAAACTGCATTCCATATCTGTAAAGAAGGGAACTCATTACTGTCTTGTTTCTCTTTTTCTTACAGTTCGACAAGTATGCTCCCAAACTCGATAATCCTTATTTCCGTCATTCCAACGTGAGTGCTCTTGCGGGTCTTTGGTTTTTGTTTTTGTTTTTACTTGAGCTTGCCAATGTTTTACTTAAGTGTATTCAGCATAGCAAGTTTCTCTGGGAAGTTTCAGTCTTTGAATTCCCCCCTCCCCCATTTATTTTCCTTCTTATTCTGTCATAACTTTCTAAAACAATGAAATCATAAACTTCTTTCCAACGGTTCAATTTCTTTCAACTTTTCCTTCATATTTCCCCTTTCTTTCTCCATTTGTTGCTGCTGTTTTCTTATTGCCATTGTAAACTCATGTCAGGGCTATACCATTTCCGTCTGCAGATGGTTGAATGCTTCCCCCATACAACTGAAAAACGCACTATCCTGCACATAGAAATTGAGCATATCAGGAGAGAAGCTAAGCCTTTTGACATCTTGTTATATATATATATACAGGGAATTTTTTTTTTGTATGAAGGAGCCACATTTCTTCACTTGTGGTCTCTGTAGTAGGTACAGCCCTGACACAGGTTTCCCATTTCAGTTTTACCACCTCAGTGAGTACTCAGTCTGAATTTTCCACCACTTCTGTGCATCCTTTGTTCAGATTTAGAAATTGAAATGCAACACAGTAGTCAATTTAGGAACTAGCCAATTCTAAATAGAACAACTCAGTTTTGTGCCATGATTAAAAAGCTGTCTGCTCAGTAATGGGAACCAAATTGGCATCTGTCAATGATGCGTTTTCATCCTCAGCAGAACTTTGCTAGCTTATTTGTAGCTTTTGCCAAATGATAATCTGGGAAACACTTCTGTAGTACTGCTGTTCCTTAGTAGCATCCATATCCTATTACTGTCAGTTTATATTTGTATTTCCTTATTTATTCTTTGGCCGTAGCTCACCTTGTTTCAAGAACTTCATTGCAAATGGGTTGCTGTGTTCTGCATTTTTCTCCAAACAAGCACTGTCATATTTTATTTTTCATTGTTGTCCTCCAAAGTGGGTTCAGCCTTACCTGTTTTTGTTTGTTTTGTTTTGTTTCCTGAGTTCCCGACATGTTTAATCAGTATGCATCTCCCATAAAAATGTTGAACATTTATGGACCATGAACAGAGAAATGAGTGGAATCTTACTCAGTGGCCCATTTTTCTATGGAGATGGATGAAAGATGGGGGTAGCTGTGTTAGCCTGTCTGTAGCAGTAGGAAAGAGTAAGCATCCAGTAGCACTTTGAAGACTAACAAAATTTGTGGCACAGTATGAGCTTCTAGCTCATTCTAGCTGTATCTGAAGAATTAAGCAGTGACTCACGAAAGGTTATACCTACCACAAATTTTGTTAGTCTTCAAAGTGCTACTGGACTCTTACTCCTTTTTTTCTAGGACATAGTGGTTGGATCCAGCAACGTGCAAGTAGAAAGAGACTTAGCGCAGTTCCATTTGTGCAAGATCTTTTACAACACCTATCGCTTCCCTTTCTATATATTATAGTGCCCAGAAATTGGTTGCATGAGATCTTCTGCAAGATGAAACGCAAGTGGGGGATATTGATGACTTAGCACAAACCCCTACCACTGATGTTTCTTGTTTTTCTGCTTGCACAGTGTCTTCTGCAAGATGAAACGCAAGTGGGGGATATTGATAAGTTTGAGTTAGCACAAACCCCTACCACTGATTTTTCTTGTTTTTCTGCTTGCACAGAAGGTGGAAATTTGTGCGGGATCCAGCCCAATGACATTTTAGGCACGCTCTCTTCTCAGCCAACTTGTGAACCTTTTCTCCGTCCTCCCATAGCAATTGCATCTGGCCAGTTCTAATCATCCATATGGAGATGCCACTGTTACAGTCTATATGTCACTGTAGAGTCTTCTATATTTACTCCCTTCTTCTCTCCGGGTAGGAAACTAGCTTGTAGACCGAAACAACCTCTCGGTGGAACCAGAGCAAACTCCTTCTCACCTTTAAAGCTCAAACACAACTATGTTGAGAAAAAGCCACAAAAGCATTTCCACGCATTCAAAACATTTAATGGGAATTGATATAAACAGCTGGTGCTGTGTTGGTGTCAAGAATGACAGTTTAGAGAATCAATAAGGGCACACCTTTGGGTTGGGGGTTGTTTTTGGGGAGCCGTTTTATCATGGTTAGGGATTCAGACGCTTTGGAGTGAGCGGGACCCTGCAGCCCGTCTTCCTGCTAAAAGACAGCGCCAGAATCCCAGCTAGTCAGCATCACCCTTGCAGTGCGTGCCTGACAGCACACTTATCACCTTTCATTCTCCAGCAGCTCCTTTTATCAGCTGCTGCATCAGAAGCGGCATTCTGGGACCGCAGACTGTGGAAAATTAAAAGCGTGTGCTGATAATAGTGGACTTCATGGCTGGCAACTGTGATAATTACCTTGTAACTGGGAGGCAGATAAAGATTAGAGATGCCAAGCAGGCTGCTTTCACACTCGCTAAAGTGACATGTTTTGCAGAAGGGCCATAATAGCAGCACTGGAGAATTACAGCAGAGGCTAATTTTCCCCCTCTTGTGAAATGAAGCAATTTCATTCATGTCAAAAGAGCATCCGGTATGACACGGGCCTAGGAAATCTGCAACAGATGGGTCTTTTGTAGGAAGGCACGCATAAGAACTCTTCCTGAAGGACTGGCAAACCTGCTCTTGAAGACGGAGCGTGGTCTGACTCAGGTGACGTCCTCCTCAAGCCAAGCAGGACTGAAGCTTGGTGTAGTGGTTAAGAGTGCGGACTCTCATCTGGGAGAACCGGGTTTGATTCCCCACTCCTCCACATGCAGCTGCTGACATGACCTTGGGTCAGTCACAGTTCTCTCAGAGCTCTCTCAGCCCCACCTACCTCACAGGGTGTCTGTTGTGGGGAGGGGAAGGGAAAGGGATTGTAAGCCGCTCTGAGACTCCTTTG